ACCCCACCACCCCGCCGCCGTTTTCCTTGGGGATCTTAATTTAAACAGGTGCTAAAATGATTGAAACTTATTAGGAGGTAAAATAATGAGACACAGAGAGTAAAATGTGTTTAGAAACTCTTAATTTCGCCATAAAACATTTACGACCTGCCAGTGCCAGCACCTTCAATGGAATAAAATAGTGAAAAGGGAAAGCTTCAGAGAGCACTTGAAGAAAATGAGTTTTATTTGCCAGTGCAACATATTATAAACACAGAGGTGAGCTCAGAGGCTTGCTAACACTCTGACTGCATTTTAAGAGCAACAGTAAGGAAAAGAAGCATCAGAATAGAAGTGTTTACATCAATATGTAGAGATAAAATGGTGTTCAATCTGCCCACTGAGGAAAGTGCATTTGCTCACTTAGGAGTTAACACTTCATTCTGACCTTTAATTTAAACCCACAGAGAGATTCTAAAAACCCAGAAGGGTCTAGAAACATTCTTTGAGTCAGTGGTCAGGTACAATCCATCATTTAGTCCTTCCCCACTTTAAGCTAATCCCAGAGATTAGTTCCTTTTAAAGCAGAGCAATGTAATATATTCTTACCCAGTGTGTGGCAATAATTTCCCAGACTGTAGTCATTTACAGACAACCTTCATAACGTTTTCCAAATCCACATGCTACTTGCCTTATTAACCACTCAATATTTTTTTCAAATAAATTCCCTTTTTACACTTAGCTTCTTCCTAAACAATGTTATCCATGAAATTACATATTTGATGTGCTAGTTTATTTTGTAATGGGCATCAGGATGTGTAATTATTGTCCATGTGACACTTAAAATTATCTGACCAACTGTGGAACATTTCTCACACTATGGGAAATGCTGATGCAGATGTTTAAGGCATGAGCTCAAGTGTCAGACGTATATGGACTGGCTATGTGACTTTAGACAAGTCGCTTAACCTATTTGAGCCTGAATATTCTTATCTATATGTATTATAATAATAGAATATATGTAGAATATAATAATAGAATAATAGAATATACATAGATTACAGGTTAAATTATGTTCCCCCAAAATTTATATGTTAAAGTACTAATCTTTGGCCGGGTGCGGCGGCTCATGTCTGTAATCCCAGCACTTTGTGAAGCCGAGGCAGGCAGATTGCCTGAGGTCAGTAGTTCAAGACCAGTCTGGCCAACATGTTGAAACCCCATCTCTACTAAAGATACAAAAAAAAAAATTAGCTGGGCGTGGTCCTGTAATCCCAGCTACTCGGGAGGCTGAGGCAGGGGTATTGCTTGAACCAGGGAGGTGGAAGTTGCAATGAGCCGAGATTGTGCCACTGCACTCCAGCCTGGGCAAGAGAACAAGACTCTGTCAAAAAAAAAAAAAAAAAAAAAGTACTAATCTTCAATTCCTCAGATTGTGACCTTATTTGGAAATAGGGTAATTGCAGATGAAGTTAGTTAAGATGAAATCATACTGGAGTGGGATGGTTTCAATATGGCTGGTGTCCTTACTTAAAGTGGAAACCTGGACACAGACATGCAAATGGGGAAAATGCCATGTAAAGATAAAAGCAGAGCTCTATGAGCCAAGGAATGACAGACAGTTTCTGACAAAGTTTGCCAGAAAACCACCAGAAGCTAAGAGAGGCCTGAAACTGATTTCCCCTCACAGACCTCAGAAGGAACCAAACCCACTGACGCCCGATTGCAGACTTCTGTTTTTCATAACTGTGAGGCAATAAATGTCAGTTGTTGAAACAGAAATGTATTTAAAACCGAGTAATGTATTATTACCCAGTGTGTGGCAATTATTTCCCAGACTTCAGTCATTCATAGACAACCTTCATAATTTGTTATGAAAATTAATAATGTACCCCCCCAAAATAATGTACCCAATTTGTAGTACATTATTAAGGCAGCATAGGAACCTAATATAACATATAGCAAACACTCAAGAATCTGTTATTTTATTAGTCTACTCAGGCTACTTACAACTCCCCTTTGCAGAAGTTTATGAGGACCAGGCCCAAAAATTTCTGGTTTGCTGGAAATGGAAGTTGAGTCTGTGGATGTCAGGAAGTGTGTTTCCTACCCGTGAAAATCCAAATCAGGGTATGAAAGTGGAGCGTGTCTAACTCAAAACCCATGGTTAGGAAGCACAGTGGGAAAAGAGCTGCAGGTGTAAAGCTCAAAACCAAGAGCAAGAGTCAGGAGTCAGATCTCAAGACAAAACAAAGAGTCAGAAATCCAAAAGTAACTAGTTAGAACGGGAGACACATGAGGATCATTGGTAAATGCTACCATGATTGCTTAAAAAAAAATAGCTTAGCTGGGCTCATTGGGTTGACCAGATGATGGGTGTGTTGGGTATGAATGTGTTGGACTCACCTCTATGTCTATAGAGGTGCTGTTTAATATGGTAGCCACCAATCATGCATGGCTGTTTAAAATGAAATTAAGTAAATTTCAAAATCTGGTTCTTCAGTAGCACTAGCCGCATTTAAAGTGTTCAATAGCTACATCATACTGTATATTACAGAATATTGCCCTCGCAGCAGAGAGTTCTATGAACAGCTCAGGGTCTTCCATGGCCACGATGCCAAAGTACAAGCAGAGATCTAAATTCTGAGTTCACCCTACATTTTCAAACCATCTTAGGTTTACAAAACTGCTTTGACAAATGGTATCAGAAAGGGTCAAGTACATGTAAAACTTTACACCGACAAATAATGGGTGCTTAGCCAGAGGTCCATGTTTTCCAAGTGTAGTGCTGTTCAAGCACCGGCAAAAGCATTCTCAGATCACATTGTCACGAACTCTCTTTACTGCTGTTTATTGCCTCATCTCCTGGATGTTAAAGGGAAGCAAGTCAAAACACCTGTGATGATCAATGGTTTAGTATGAAATTAGGACTTCCTGCCATTCTAAACTTGAAAAACTGCAGTCCACAGGTGTCAGTCTACAAGCTGTGACACGTGTCTAGCAGCCCTTTCAGTGAAGGCTGGCCACCCTTGCTCAGCTCTCCGATTTCCTCTACATTGAGGTTCTCAACCAGTGTGAAAATGTGGAATTGTGGCTATTTGTTCACATGATTTGCACAAAATACTCAGTCAGAAGCTCCTCCAGCTGATATAAGGAATAACACAGAGGAGAACTGAAGCTGCAGAGTATGGGGTTGTGGGGGTGGGTAAGGGAGCGATTGTAAAAATGAGTCAAAGTAAAAACCCTCATCAAGACCTAGGTGATGGGTTACTCAGTGAAGGAACCAGCTGCAAGAAAGGAGAAAAAGTAAACTTTCATCCTCTCCTCTTCCTTCTCCTCCTCCTTTTTTGCATTATTGTTGATTGAGTGAGCAAGCTATTCAGCTGGACCATTCACTGAATGGCTAAATGCTGTGTGTGAGCAGGAAAGCCTGTATTCTATTCCTGAATCCTCTATAAGAAGTTCTTCAATCTCTGTAACTCTCTTGGGTGCTCCGTGCCTCCTTTTGCAATATGGCAGAAGCTTTACTCCTATCCTCTCTTCCAGGGATGCAGAGTAATTTAGTGAATTGTATTATGTCTATCACCAGGCACAGAGTCCCTGAGGCTGGGGCGGTTGCTGAAGTGATACACGTGTTCCTCTTGTCCCAGAGGACTAGAGATAGCACCATTAATCTGTCTGTTATCTGAATTAATATTGAAAACACATATTCCCACATAGACGTTTGTTTTATCCTGTGCATCAGAAATGTGTCTCTAAGGATTTTCCAACAAGGCTTTGCTTTGTAGCTTCCATTTTTACCCTTGGTTTGACTTTGCAGCACCAGCCTGCTGTTATTGCTCACTCTATGAACTGTACCTGCTCGGTGCCATCCAAACGTCAGCCGCTTAGAGGGAGGCTTCGATGACAACCACAGGGAGAAGAGACTGAGCAGGAAACTGGTCAGGTCAATTAAGAGGTGGGCAGCATCTGTGACAACAGCAAGACTCCCAGCGAAGTGCCCACCTAGAGAATGCAAAATAGTACACTGTGTTAAGGCCCCAGAATGCAGCTAGATTCATAGACATGCTAACTATCGTGGGTGAAAATGCCGCAGACTCACAAAACTTTAGAGGAGAAAGAGATCTTAAAGTTGATTTAATTCACTCCTTCTGCAACTCAGAGAGTGGATATGATTTGAACACGTAGAAATCAATTTCAAAGGAGAAGCCATTCCTTGGGTAGCAAAGACATAGAGATTAGAAACTGTGGGGCAGGCACATCTGGAGAACACCTTAGTTAGACTGGGGTAAGAGGATTCAAAAGAGAAAAATACAAGAGGATCAGGCTGAAGCAGTGTGGGCCAGATTCAAAGAGTCTCATAACCCAAACTGAGGACATGGACTTTTGTTTATAAACTAGATGTTGCGATCTGGCTCACAGATGTGTTTTTATTTGACTTATAATTTAATCATCATCTTTACCCTTTCCTTTTTCTCTATTAATTCATATTATCCACCTGAGCTTGAAATCCCTGTAATAAATAATAGGGAGCAGAAAGGAGAAAGGGCAGGTACCTTCCAATGGGCGTCTTGAGTGCTACAATCCAATAAAGCACAGGGATGCAATGTAAGCCATGAGAGTCCTGCCTGGCTTTTCCCTTTATTTGATGTGCTCCCTCTACTTCCCTCTAATCCTCCTTTGAGAAAAGACCTCCAGCCTCCAAAATAGAAGTTAAAGAAAAACCTTGCCCTTTCCTTCCCAGACACGGTTTGTTGTTTGAGAGCAATAACCTTTATTGCTCTTACTACATCTTCTCAGCAAAGGGCTTTTGCTGACTGATTAGTTCTCCCTACAGCTGTTTATTGCCTTGTGTACTACAAAATAGCAGAGACTGTCAGCCATCAGCCTCGCCATCATCAGACTCACCTTGTCTCGCCTAATGATTTTTAAAAATTACATAGATAGCTCATAATTGCAATAATCCCCACAGGCCATTGGCTCTATCTGTAGTTAATAACTGGTTTGTCAAGGTTTAATGGGCTGAAGCAAAGTAATCTTCGAGCCTGTTACCGAACAGTCAGTGCAAAAATCAGAATGATTCATTAGCCGAAAAGCAACATTTTGCTAACAAATCAGCTGTCCTTCCAATTATCCTCTAATGTTGCTCTATCTGCCAAACTTGGTCCTGATGATAAAACTGTGTTAATAAGGCATTATTTCTTGCCCGGAGAATAACTCCATGCAGATAAGCAGTATGCTGCAATCACAGCAATGAGTGATGATGATTCTACGTGCTGGGTTGAAATATAGTCTAAATCAAGGAAATGAAGTCAGTCTTATAAAGTCTCTTCAACAGTCTCAGCTGAGGCAGGAAGCACCTGAGAAAGAAAAAGGGCTTGCTTTGGAAGAAATCATGTTACTATGGAGGCTTGGAAACAGAACCATTTTGCAACCTTCAGAGCTACTTATAGGAACCATCCAGAAAACTGTAGGCAATCGCTGACACATAGAGCAAACTGCTTGCAAGAGGTAATTTGTGACTGATCTTGCATTTGCTTCTGAAAGCATGGAGTATTATTGACAATTAATTCAATTATCCAGCCAATATTTATTGAGCCCTTACTGTGCATGGTACCAGGGATTGGGTATACAAAGATAAACAAATCATAGCCTCTCTTCAGTGATCTCCTTGTTTAACACTCACTGTACCAGAGACAAGTTAATGGGCTAAGGGATCGGAGAGCTGCTCTTACTGGGAGGAGTGAGGAACTTTTCACAAAGAGAGGGGTAAGAATTAGCAAAAACAGAAGGGGTTTTCGGGAAGAGATAAAACCACGGGCTAAAATAGAGTGAAAGAACATAGCACTTTTCGGGAAAAGCAGAAGGTATGGAGTGTTGGAGGAAAAATGGGAAATGAGCCTGGGAAAGCACATTGGAAATGCCTGTGTGGGGTATTATATGTCAAGCCAAGGGGTTTGAATGTGATTCTATGGCTAAGGGGATCTACTTATTACTTTGAGGCAAGGTTGTGGTATGTTGAGATCTGTTTTTAAGAGAGACGTCTTAGCCAGCAATATGGAGGATGACTTTGGAGAGAGGTTAAGAGGAGCTAGAGGTTAAGACTCGACAGTGTTAGCCAAGGGAAATTATGATAAAGGCATGAACTAGGGCAGCAGCAGTCATATTTCTGGAATACTTGACAAGATGTGGAGAGCAGTACACTTATACCAAGATAAGAGACACACAGAAAAGACTCAGACCTGAAGACTTTACTTAAGGCCTGTGGGGTGAAGGTGACAGCAATAGAGCAGAGGAACCATGGGGCCTGGGTCTCACAAACTACCTCCGATTAAGATGGTGTTAATTCCCCATGTGGGTTTCCATGGAGAACAGAGACTTACTGACAGCAATGAAAGAAGTAAATGTTTATCTGACAACATCAGCCATGTGTCCCATTGCTGGGCTTACACCGTTGTGTGCTATTAATTAATTTTTAAAAATTCTTTAATTATTTTGTGAATAGTATTATGATACTATACCATATGTTGTGTCAAAACCCCATTGAGTTGTTATTTAACAAATACAACAGGTCCTCAAATAACATCAGTTCATTCAACATCCTTTGTTTATAACGTCGATAAGAAAATAAAATGGATTCCTGACCAGGGCCGCTGTCTGTGTGGAGTTCGCATGTTCTCCCCATGTCTGCGTGGGTTTTCTCTGAGTATTAGGGTTTCTTCCCACATTCCAAAACTGTGCACGTGAGGTTCACTGGCACATCTACATCGTCCTGGTCCTGGCGGGAGTGAGTGTGGGTGTGACTGTGCCCTGTAATAGGAGGCATCCTGTTCAGGGCTGTTTCCCACCTTGAGCCCTGAGCTGTGAAAAGCTCCAGCTATGAAACTGGAATAAGAAGGCTGAAAAAAGAATGAATGAAAACAAATGATTGTAAAATAAATATGTGTAAGGCAGATGATCATCATACAGATGCCCAACAAAAAAGAGTATGAAAGTGCTCAGCAAACCCAGCTCATCTTTTCTTATTTGGGTTTGAACTGTGTGGTGGTAGGAGGCACTCCTGACAATTTTCACTTTGCAAACATTTATTCCTTGATGTAACCACCACCATTATGACCACCCTCACTCACTGATTCACCCAAAATTGCATAATTATCTCACTTGTGTTTATCATCTTTCTTAGATGTATGTATAGCTCACATTTATTTCAGTGTTTAATATTTGAAGTGTCTTGGCCTTATTTAGAAGTTTTGTGATGTTTTTGTGACCAGTAATATGGCATGGAAACTTGACTCGTTTCTATCAGTTGGCCTATGGTAAAATTGGTTTTTGTTATATGTCATTTCACTGAAAGTCAAAGTTTCCAAGAACTTCTCCACGATGTTAAGTGAGGACTTACTGTGTTTAAAATATATCACAGTTCTCATGTTTTGACATTTCTTAAAATATTAATACCAGGAACCTCCAAAAATATAAGAGGCCTGAGCTACTACAATCCCTTGGCTGTGCAGAACAAGGTAAGTGCCCTGATCAATAAAACTTGTGGTTATCACACCACCCAGCAATATCTTTCTCTTAGTAAAAGAGAAGTTTTTCACTCAGATAGTTACCGTCTTCCCCAGGCTGCTCCCAGCTCTGAATTCCTGTCTGATAATCTGGTGTTTTCTCTATTTTTTTTTTTTTTTTTGAGACGGAGTCTCGCTCTGTCGCCCAGGCTGGAGTGCAGTGGCCGGATCTCAGCTCACCGCAAGCTCCGCCTCCCAG